TTTTTTTTTTTGCTACTATTTGTAATAGGTTGTCATATTATATAGATTTGGTTAATAGGATTATTCTGTTGTAATGTTAAGTAAAGTTGTTGGTCGTCTTTTTTATTAATAGTTTACTAGTACAACACCCGTGTATTACACGGGTGCTTGTTAAAAAAATATTCTTACATTTTAAAATTAATGAGAAAACTATATTAAATTTATTTTACTTTTTTACAAAAAAAAAATATATATATATATATATATTACTATATATTTTAGATGATATGTGTTACTTATGACTTACATGTGTTATATTATATTTATTTTCATAACTTATATCATATAACTACTTAAAATATAAATATATTAGGTGATAAATAATTTTATTTTTCTAATTAATATTAAAAATAATTTTATTATTGTTAGAACGATAAATATAAATTATTTTTTTATACATACAATATGGATGTTAAATCGAAGCTCATCAAAAGAAGATTAATTTGATATATTATATATGTAAAACTGATAGAAAATACAAAAGTTATTAACTTTTAAAATATATATACAATTCAATAGTTATAATAAGGAATGATATTAAAATGTAATTAATACATGTAACATGACTATAAATAATCAAAATATTTAGGGTAATCCGAACCTAATTATTTTTGTTTGGAATTAAATTATAATTTACCCAAGCCTAATAACGAAGCATATAATTTTGCCACATATGATTCCGAAGCACCAGAAGCAGCCACGTAGGCTCAGCGCGTTCTGAATTTATATATAGGGGGATTTTGTTATATATATATAAGTAATGATTCCAATGAGGACATGAGACTCAATCCTAGCCACTAAAAGGATATCAAGATGTGCGGCCAAGATTTAACTCTTTATTTAAATAGTAATTTTTTATTTTAATTATTTTAGTTATTTAAATATTATTTTGACCGTTGACCATTGACTCCGGCGTTGACTTTAGGCGAAAATCGTTGACTTTCGGCGCTAACCGTTGACTTCCGGCTTTAACTCCGACGTTGACCGTTCACCCCTAGTATGCATTATGTAATTCCTTGCAACTAATGATAAATAAATTTGCAACTAGATACAACAAACCTTGCTACTAAATATATCTAACCTTGCAACTACAGATAACTAACTTTGCAACTAGATACAACTAATATTGCAACTATAGAGAACTAACCTTGCAACTACAGACAACTAATCTTGCAACTAAAATACACATAACCTTGCAAAAACAGATAATTAAATTGCAACTACAGACAACTAACATTGCAATTGCAGATAACTGAACTTGCAACTACATTCAACTAAACTTGCAACTGCAAACTATTAACCTTGCAACTAGATACAACTAACCCAGCAACTACAGACAATTAATCTTGCAACTACAGACAACTAACCTAGCAACTACAGACAACTAACTTTGCAACTACTAACCTTGCAACTAGAAATAACTAACCTTGCAACTAGATAGAACTAAACTTGCAACTACAGACAACTAACCTAGCAATTACAGACAACTAAATTAGCAACTATAGACAATTAACCTAAGACCAACAAACAACAAACCTTGCAACTACAGAAAAAATAACAGTGCGACTACATACAATTAAACTTGCAAAGTTAGTGTAAAAATAATGCATAGTTAGTGATAAAGTGTTGCACAGTTAGTGTCAAAATAATGCATGATTCTTGAAACAATAATGCAAAAACTTTGTTGCATAGTTAGTGATAAAGTGTTGCACAGTTAGTGTAAAATGTTGCATGGTTATTTAAACAATGATGCAAAAATACTGTACACGATAAACATATTTATTGTAAGAAACATGATACATATTTATTTCAACACAGGTCCATAAGTACTTCAATTACTTAATCTGAGCCATTGATCAACAAAAAATCAATGTTAAGAGGTGTCCTTATTTTACGAGCTATCCTCATTTTTAGAGATGTCCTCGTTTGATCCGTCCCCTATATATATATATATATATATATGTATATGATTATATCTAAAGATATAGTTAGTCCAAGAGTATGGTGCATTAATGTTTCCATTTTATGGAGAAAATATGTTGTACCCTAAACTAAGTATGTTGTTCCATTATATTCTTGTAGTTGATATGGTGAGTCCACACAGCCACTTGTATATAGTGGTAATGGCATACTCCAACCATTACACACACTTGTATTCCTGTGCACATGTATAAAGAAAAATAAAAAATTATTATATGTATGTATACAATATATAAAAATTTTATATTAGATTATGATGTATTACATTTTAAATTTTGACTATGCAAATGTATAATGTAAAAAAATTTTATATAACTTACGTATGAATCTTTATATTAATGCCATAAATTTTAATGGCTAATATAAGTTAGTAATTTAGAGGGACCATACAATTAATTAGTTAGAAAAGTATTACAATTATTCTTATCATCGTTATAGCATTTGTTTATGTGATTTAAAGGTGTTTAATTATGAAACTCATGCCAATTAACTAATATTAGATAAAAATTGCTTAAAAAGAACAAAAATATTTTATTTTGAAAAAAGTATTTTAAAGAAAAAAATTGCAATACAATTTTTTATAAGTATGTAACTTCCACATACCGCCTCCTATTTTTTTAAATGTCATTCTAGCTTTATCAACTATTAACCACATAAATGTCGTTTTAGATCTTTTGCACATATTTTTCCATTATTACCCTCATTTAGCTAATAAATGCATTACTTCTTTTCATATTCACTCTTCACTTTTTTTCAAAACATTTGTCTATACCTTCATTAAATAAGGTTATTATTGACAAAAAAAAATCTTAATTAATGTGCAACTTTCAAAACGACATATATTAAAAATAAGAGGTAGCACTATTTAATGTAAAATTGTAATCGATTAGTGTTTGTAGTAAATAAATTAGATTAAAATTATTATTACACATTATTAATGTAAAATGTAACGATTCTACATTAATTGAAAAAATGAGAAGAAAAATGAATAGATGTTTTATTAATTAGGTTTTATTAAATGCTATGTCAGCAATTATATATATATATATATATATATATATATATATATATATATAGATTTTAGACCAACTAAACAACAATTAATTCTTTTAATCATGGCCATAGGAAAAACAATAAATCACAATAATAATGGCATCAAGGAAGCTAATGAAAGATACATATTTGTAATGTTAAATGATTCAAAACATGAATGCATGATGATCCATATTGTACTTCCCCCATTCTTTAAATTTGAAAAAATATAAATATAAGAAGAAAATAACTCCTCAATAACTCTTTAAAAAAAAAAAAAAAAAAAAAAAAAA